GGATGCAGTATTGAAAGATGTCCCAGTGCAGATGGTTATGGTGCAATGGTAAAGGAGATAATTCTGAAGTATTTAGACAAGCTGGTATCATGTTTTGCTGTCCTTGGTTATACTTTGAGACTTTTGGCTGTGGCAGTGTGGTAACAACATGCCTTTTGTTCAGCATGGTGCACGTGTAGTACGTTGGTTACTGGGCAGTGCTGCAGAAATTAAGGCAACTTGCAGTAGCGCTCATTTCAGCTGCACAGTTTCTGCTCCCGTTGGATGTGATGGTAGTGCCCATCACCCTGCTATGCTTCATTCTGCAGCTTATCATGAATTTCCTGCCTGACTGGAAGACTGCCTACTCCTTCCACATGCCCTTCTTTCTCACCTTTCATTCCTCCTGGAATCCTTTCAGAAGCAAGCACAGCACATTCTTGCTAATTTTCAAACAAATGTAAATAAGCATTTTACTCTTCCACCCATCCCTGTCTCTCTCTCTTTCTCTCTCTCTTCCATCTCCCTTTTCTCCTTCCATCCCTGGTGCAAGATGAGATCAGCTTGACAAGACTTAGTAACTGCTGTTCAAGAGCCTGGACTTGTGCCCGCTAAGTTGAGGGGAGGGAATGTAATCTTACCTGAGTCAGTGTATGGGCCTGTTGCCGATAGCCTCCCAAGTACTGCTTCACTGTCTAGGTAAGGGGTTAGATGGTAGAGGAAAGACCTGTGTTATTGTTGTTGTGACGCAATATGAAAATATGTTAATTTCATTCTGAGTGTTCAATTAGAGCAGTAGTACAGTAAGTACAGAATTACCTTTTCCAGTGGCCTAGATACAGTGGCAGTGTTCCTGAAAGTCTACCACAGATTTCTGTAAGAGTAGATTGGATCTTAATGGTGAATCTGTTTTCATTTGCCTTCATCGGCCACACTGCTTAATTCAAGATGCTAAACTGAGCGCTTCACATGGCCAGGTGCACAACTCTGCTTGAGGTGCATTTAATGACAGAAGAATACCTTCCATGAGATTCCGTTGTTTTGTCCAGCTATCAAAATCTTCAAGGGCCTCAGAAAAATTGCTACAGTCCAAAACCTATTTTCAAAAGCAGAAACTAACATTTGTCTCAAATTGCAGAGACTGGAGAAATGCTGACCAGAGTATTCAGAGAGGTAGAGCACTTGCAGCTGAAATTAATTTCTCCCTGTGAGATCAAGTCCAGCTGTTTCAAGTCAGATAGCCAAGAATCAAAGTTTCCACCATTCATTATGAAAAGCTGGGATTTAACCACTGGAGAGCTTTGAAAAATTCCAGCAAGAATGTTTGCAGATTTAAGTGCCTGAATGCCTCTTTGAGTATTTGAACCTAGGATTTATTTGCATATACGTCTCATAGGTACTTTCTCTTTCATTTAATCCATTCTCATGATACTTTTCCTGTGTTATTTGTGTAGTTGGTTAAAATGTTTCCATTGAAGCAGTGGAATTGGTGGAAAGTTGTCTAACCCTTCTTCCCTCCCTCCCTTTCTCAGTCTCTACAAGTAGAATTTCTCTTCATATTCTGCCCACTAACAAGTAGAATTTCTCTTCGTATTCTGCCCACTAACCTTAAGATTTTTCCCTCCTTTTCAGACTTTTGACATGAAATAATTGATTTACTCAGAGAGAAAAAGTTTTATTTGCTTTCCTCCATTTTTTCTATAGTTTTCTGTATTTTTCATTTAGCTTCTGCTCAGCCCTACATGCTGATGTAGCCTTAGCTCCATCTGCGCACCCAGCCTGCTCATCAGGTCACTGACCCGCCTTAGCATTCCTGAGCAATCAGTGAGATTCCTTTATGCAGCTATAATGGAGAGTTAGAGTCCTGTCCTTAGCCAGACACAAGCAGGTTAGAAATAAGTCTGCTTTTTCAATGAAGGCTTATTTCCCATATCCAATACATAGTAAATGACTCATTTGTACAGCGAAACTCCTTTTGGAACTAGAAACACTCTTTTTGGCCTTGCTGTCTTCCTAATATTTTGGACTCCTGCAAGAACGACTACCCGCATCTCTAATGATGTTTTTTTGACTTTACTCCTATGGAAGTCCCCAGAGGTGAGTTTGGGCCAGTGAATGAAAATATGAACAGAAAGCTGTAGAAACTGCCTTTACATTTCTAGAACACATAAAATTTTAGACCAAAAAAAAAAAAAAAGGTACTTGGATGTAAACAACAGGAGCTTTAAATACAGGAGTTGTTAATTTCAAGTTTGAATTTGATATAGTGATTAGAACTGAAATAAGTACTGGGTGAAGTAAAGCAGTGCTGAGTACAGCTGTGTTTTGATATGCATGAGAGCATGCCCTTGAATTGTGAGGTGGGGCGTTGCTATGCCATGTTATGGTGCTTTAAACCTGCTGTATTCTAAGCACCACACAGCTGCTTGCTCACTCCTCCTCTACCCTTAAGTGGGATGGGGGAGAGAATCGTAAGAGTTAGAAGTGAGAGCTTGTGGGTTGAGATAAAGACAGTTTAACAGGTAAAGCAAAAGCTGTACAGGCAAGCAAAGCAAAACAAGGAATTCATTCATCACTTTTCTATCGGCAGGCAGGTGTTCAGCCATCCCCAGGAAAGCAGAGCTCTATCACACATAACAGTTACTTGGGAAGACGAACACCATAACTTGGAACATTCCCCCCCCCTTCCTCCTTCTTTTTCCGCCAGCCTTACATGCTGAGCATGATGTCATATGGTATGGAATATCCCTTTGGCCAGTTGGGATCAGCTGTTCTGCCTGTGTGCCCTTGCAACTTCGTGTGCACCCCCAGCCTCCTCGCTGGTGGGGTGGGGTGAGGAGCAGAAAAGGCCTTGACTCTGTGTAAGCCCTGCTCAGCAGTAACGAAAACATCCCTGTGTTATCAGCACTGTTTTCAGCACGAACCTGTAGCATAGCCCCATACTGCTACTGTGAAAAACATTAACTCTGTCACAGTCAAACCCAGAACATGTACAGCTACCACTGGCAGAACAAATGACACAAAGCTGAGACTGAAGAATTTTAACTGATAGAAGCAACAATGTGATGGGTTTTTTGCAAATGGAAAGCAGTTCATTTTTCTGATGTTCAGTCCATAAACAGAAGACAGTGTAATATATAAGTGTATATACAAGTGTATATATAAGTGTATATACAAGACCAGCTGTATATGTTTATAAAACATCCACTTTTCAATAAATTATGAAGCAGTTTAGTGTAAGAAAGCAAAAATTAAAAGGTAGAAATTTTAGTATGAAATGTCTTGGAGTGTTAAGGCCAGTGTATTAGAAATCACTGATCATTTTTTTGGCCAATGCCATTTATACATATAAATCATTACCACTAAATGTTGTATTCCGAATTTGCTGTCTGTACATATTCCTTATTAATACTACTTGAGCTGATTTTTATGTTGCTGGAAAGGGTTGTGTCAAATGTGACTGCTTATTAAAAAGCTGAGCCCAGTATCTCTAACTTTTGAAACAAGAGCTGTGCTGTTCGTAAGCCCTTGGGGAACCTCAGTTCCATCTCCTGCTTTCAGACAAAGCTGCGGCAGCCCTAGAGCTGCGCAGCCGTTGGCTTGGTTAAACGTGCCATCTAGTGGGCAGCGGCTCATAGTTCAGTCAAAAAAAAAAAAAAATCCAGTGGACTTTTGGTGCATTTTTAAACCACCAGGGAAAATAAATGAAGGTTGACAAATCCTCCTCTTGTCTTCTTTTTCTCCCCATAAGTAACAGGCACTCATGGAACATTATTTGTTTCCAGAAATTCCATTGTTTATACTGTCTGTTGTGCACTCTCTGCTCCTAGGCTGTTTGCTGAATTCTAGATTGAAATCATCTGCTGTGGCAGAGTACTTGGGCAGAATAATTAGTGCTGTATTCACAGAGCTTCAGAAGTTGTATAGTAACACCACTATTACTACATGCATCTGAAATGTTGATTCTCAAAATTGGTTCAAACGCCTAGAACTACCCAGATTTCCTTGACACCCACTCCTTGCTGTCCCCAAGTATCCCTGTTGTTCACCTGCCCTTTATGTAGCTGCTAAACCTCGCTCTTGCACGAGTGGTGTGCAAATGGGATTTTGTGAAAACAGGGGCCACCAGAGCTGCCCAGTACCTTGGTGTGTAGTGCAGGCACCCAGGGTGTTGAAGACCCAGGGTTAAGCCCCTTGACTGGTTGTGTATTCTGACTTTGGATTCCTGTTGGTGCTGAGGTTTCCACTAAGTAAGAGTTTATGCTGGGATACTCATCCAAAACCCCTGCCTGTTCTTGGAAAACCCGCTAAGAAGCTGACTCCTGCCACACATGTGCCATTGTTTTACGTGTCACTGAAGTTTCGCTTTAATTGAATGTTCTCAGACTGTTTTCAGTTCCACGTAGCACATCACTCGCATTGCTGATACCAAGAGGGCGAAGGCATCCCTAGCAGTGTACACTGAAACAAACCCATCAGCTTTGAGATTGGGGCGGAGAGGGCTTCAGATGGTATAGTTTTGTCTCATGAAACATGGGAGAGGTTGCAGCTCACTGCCACAGCCTGTACTGTGTGTGCGTTGCCCTGCGGTATAACAGTCCTCATACATGCTCTTACCCTGTGCTAATATGGGGGCACCAAACCCCTACTGGAGGCAGTTGAGATGGAAAAGCTTGATTTAAAAATTGAAATAAAGTCATCTTGGTTGTTAATCAGGGAAGGAGTTATATGAGACAACCAACACCTGACAGCTTTGTAAAGGAAAAGAAATGTACTCTGAGGATCTTTGTTTTCTATATGTGATGTTTGCAAAATAAAGTTAAGCACTGAGGGTAACATTTTTGGGTTGCTTCTCTCTGGAGACACCTGTGTGATGTAGCCTGAGTCACTATTGCTCCAAGAACCATCTTAGATTTGAATCCCATCTAATCAAGTACTTGTCATCTTGATTTAAAAAGAGCTTCCTTTAGAATGTTGGCTTAAGGAAGGTCTAATTATTTTTTTGTCCCTTTCTCTTCTAGGATATTAAACACAACACTCTTTGAACTGTATGAAGCTCTAGGCAATTTTCCTGCCTTATGGGTCTTAAACATGCTGCTTGTGGTTCTTCAAATTCTGCACTGTTTTTGGTCTTACCTAATCATGAAGGCAGCCTACAAAGCTGTTTCAAAGGGCAAGGTAAGACAGCACAGTTCTGTTCCATGTTTAGTATTTTAACTTGTTCAATATCAGCTCAGGGTCTCTGACTTTTCAGTTACTTTTTCTTTCTAATTCATAACACATTGCTGACGATATGTGTCTTACGTAAACTCTTCTTTCCTTTCGTGGAAACTTTTTTTCACTCCTAACAAATGTCAGATAAGTTAATATACTCTTTATAGTAATTTTATTTATATGTGCTTCCACACTTCTTTTTTATAATCTGGTGCACTGAACCAAATTCCATTAGGGAAATGGTATTAAAAAAACCCCACAAATAAACTGCTTTCTTGGGACTGCCTGTTCATTTTTTCTTCTTTATAGTTGCTGTTAGCAAAATGTTCATTTCCCACCCGGTAGTGATAGTAGTAATAATACAAATTGAAATTCTGCTGTCTTTGCTAGTGGCAAAGTTAGAAATCACAGCCTCTTTTGAGTTTTGGTATTAATGAGGGCTGTGGACTTTCTTTCTAGGATTCCTACAGCATGACCATTTGGGATAAAATTTAGTGTCTTGCTGCCATTATTATATTTGACAGAGAGATAAAAGTCACAGAAATGCCAGCCCCATTACACTTGCTGTGCAGATACAGCATTCACATTCAGATGATGGAAGTAACAATTACAGGTCATGTAAAGTACAAGGTATTTTGCCCTTAAAGAGTAGAGTTCATGAACAGATATTACAGGAACGTGACCACCCCCAAAAATGAATAGGATTGTTCTGCACAGAAAACTGCTTTCTACAAACGTACTGGAGAGCTCAGCCTTGTACTGAACGGAGCCCAGAATCTGCCAGTCGTTCTGTATGAAAGACAGTGCATTCATGAACTGCACTTCGCCTGGAAGCCACCCTTCAATCTCCTCTGCTTTTAGCGATTATTAGCCTCAGGTGTCGTGTCTGAATTACACCAGTGACTTCAAAGAGTGCTTCGTATTCTCTCTTACTCCGCTTGTTTATCCCTTTCCCTTGTGCTGTGCTGGAAGGCTGGGAAGTGGAACCCCCTGCATGTAAGTTTCTTTAAATTTACGATGCAAAAGCTTTATTCTTCCTAATACTGGTGATTGTGGTGTTTTGGGTTTTTTAATTTGTTGCTTCTGCTTGGTATTTATCCATTGTTTGTGTTTATATATTTAAGTGAAGGCAATCTTCAAAGGCCCTTGCCTATGAATTGCCTAATACCATTCAAATCCACATCAATCTGTAGCATCTGGGAGCTATGATGTTACAACCTTTTTTACACACTTGTATCAGCAGGATAAGCTGCCGCTCTGTCACCATTCAGGAAGCATACTTGAGAGTGTAAGTCCTCTGCCTTGTAGTTAATTGTACAGAAGAAAATATAGACTGTGTGAGAGCAGAGTTAGACACTCGCAGTAAGACAGTGACCAGATTAAAGATGCATGTGTACAATATTTATACATGGAGGATTCTTCTTCCTTCAGATACAACTTCCTCATTTGCAACCCCATTCTTTTCATTTCTGCAGTAAAATAAGCAGTGTTTTCACAGCACATTACAGATATCTTACAGTAGATCTTCATCCTTAAGCATTGTTTTATTATTATTTTACTAGTATTCAACTCTGGAACAGCTCAGCTGATAAAGCAATTTATTATCATTAAATTTGTAATGATCACCTATTTCTTACTCTCTGTTATGCTTAGGAGTTTTATAAAGTTTCTGTAGAAATTACTCCAGTGGGTCAAAGAGAAACAAGTACTGCAAAATGCATTGCATTCTTATCAGGTTTTAAGTGCAAAGATCCTTGTATGCTGCTGCATTTTAAACATAAAGTGGATCACATGTTTAAGAGAAGTGGCTGCAGAATATAATCCTCTTTTGACCTCTTTCTGTTGATGATTTTTTTTTTTTTAACTTCATCTGATGTACTCTTACTAGTTTCGGAGATTTTTAAGATCAGACTGAGTAGAGCTCTGGGTAGCCTTGCCTGACTCCACAGCTGACCCTACTTTGAGCAGGAGATTGGTCACAGACTCCTTGAGGTTTCTTCTGACCTGGGTCATCCTGTGATCCTACGTGTTGGCAGTGCCATTGTTATCTCCCTGGGAAAAACATCCTATTAAAAACAGGGCAGACAAGACCTTTTCTTTGCAGGATTTTCTTTTCTGTTCCCCTTGTTTGCTCTTCTTAACCTGCCTGTTGTTGGCTTCCTCATGTTTTTACTTGTTTTGAGTGCAGGTGACTGAATGGGGTGAAGCAAAGTCAACTCAGGGATTCTGAAGGGACTCAGTACTCAGCTCTCAAACTTAGCAAACGTCATCTGTGACCTTCAAAGACCTCTAAAAAGGAGGGGAGCAAACCCCTTAACCTAAGGAACAGCATTCACCCAGTAAATGGGTAGAAACTGTCAGGAAGGAAGTCAGCTGGATATTAGCAGGAAATCCCTAGCAGTTAAATGAAAGTCAGCCTGTTTCTGAAACGGCTTTCCAGTGACATGATGGGGCAGACTGTGGAACTGCTCAAGTACGTTTGTGGTTACTGTGATAGGGTACTGAAGTGGACTCTGTCCAGTGTTTCCAAGCCCCGTTCTCATCACTTGCCTGAGGTCAGAGACTGGAGTTACCTGGTATGGTGAGTTATGTTTCAGCCAGTACTCCTGTCTTCTACTGTCAGCCTTTCAGCACTGTTCCCTGGACCCATGTGGCCTCTGGAGAGTAAGTTTGGAGGCGAAGGGGAGGAAGTTGGGGTTAATATTTTCTATTATCAGGTCAAAGAGAAACACCCCAAAGGAAGCACAGGAAATAAAGTTGTAGGAGGAAGATGGAGGGACGGGAGCTAGGCTGAACTTTGGAGCTTGGATTGTTGGTTACTTTAGTCCGTACACAACCCTTAGCTTGAGCACCATGCCCTCACTTGTATATACTATCTGCAGTGCACCAGTGCAGCGTTCTCACCCTGCCTTTGCACATGGCATGTGTGCACAAGTATCTGTGTTTGAAGTGAGTCCATGCAGACAAATCCAGAGAAATGTGCCAGAGCTGAGATTGCCTTCAAAGCTCAAATTGAAAAATGTTTGAATTCTCTGATTTTGACTTAAACCAAAAAGCTCAGGTGTTTCCTTCCAATCACCTACTACTTGCTTCTTTTTCAAATGCTACAGGTAGCAAAGGATGACCGAAGTGACATTGAGTCAAGCTCAGATGAGGAAGAAACAGTACCTCGCTCAAAGACCCTGCACAGCACTATCACCACTAATGGGACCGGTGGTGCCAATGGGACAAACGGGTATCTTACTGGTGGCACTTGCTCAGAGGAGCATTAATCCTTGAGTTCAATCGTGAGACATGAACAGAATGAACTGTTTGCTACTGGAAGTAAATTGTAAGTTGTGAATGCAGTTTCTTCATATAACTCAGCATCAGAAAAAATTAGGAGTATCAAAGCATTTTGATAGTGCACTGCCATATTTCCTGTTTGTGAATGAAGACAACACACCGTTCTGTATACGTAGGCATGCTGTATGTGTATGTAACTGACACAATGGGGGCAGTATTTTCACTTGTACTGTCTTTGAAATATTATTTATTTTGTATTCTTTTGGGAACTTCTGGACAAAAGGGAATATCCATTCTCAAACTTTTCTCTCTTGGGATTCTCGGTGGTAGAGAGCATCATGCTCAGATCTCTTCTGTCCATCCCTGTTGCTTTTCCTGAGTCTGCTATAAGTAATAGTTGCTTGATTTGTTACTTACAGTAAGATAGAACATAGCTTTAGAGATTCTACATCTGCTTCAGATATTTTTGCAATCTCTGTGTTTTAAAGTGCTGGTTTTGAAATTGCCTATCAAATCACAGTGGCCATTCCTCCAACATAAAGTTTTAAAACACTGGATTGATATTTTGAGTAGTAGGTAATGTGGTCAATTAGCGATTTGAGGAAAAAATTATTGTAACTGTGGGGTATTATTTTAGCGTAATTGAAAATTCAATTTGGTGGTTAATTGCATTAGAAGTAGATTTGATTAGTTGTGCAAATACCCAAAAGCATTGATGTCAACAATTAGGATAAACTCATTCTCACTTTTTTTTTTTGCCTTGCAATTTTTGACCTCTACAGATTTTAACTTTTTGCAGAGATTCTGTGTTGAAAGATGTTTGTTCAAGTGCACCACTGCAATTCCAGACCTCACTCCTGAAGCTGTTCTTTCAGGTTCAGATGGATGAGAGCAGAGGTGTAATGGAAAAACAGCAGATGAAAGTTCATTGTTTCCTCGGACACAGTTCAGTTGAGGTATCATTCTTACAATTATTGCCACTTTCTTGGTAGGGTGAAGAGTGAGAAGGCAGAATATCATACGTTACTACAAGTAGTTTATTTTAAATGCATGAAAACTTGAGCAAAATTCACTTAACATAATTCACAGCAAACTTTGATTGCTTAGTGGTATTTCATCACATCTAGAAATAAAATGAAGGGTGTCTGTAAAATAATTTTACACTCCTTTTTCATTTAAGATTTATGAATTGTGTCCCAGAGAAGACAAAGTAACACCCAAATTAAACATCTTTTTAATCACTATGTACACATTTCTTCCAGTCTCTAGATTAAAGTTTGATGTAGGATGCTAAGGATCATACAACTCTTGCAGGACACTCTCCTGTGATTTGTGACAGCAGTGCCAAAAGTAGGTGAGGTTCTTGGGTAACAGACTCTATGCAACCTACTGTTCAACAGTATTGTGTATGTGCACACAAAACCAATGTGCTTATAGACCAAAGACTTACATATATATTAAAAGGAAAAGAAGGAAAAAAAAAAGGAAGGAACAAACCAGGAAAAAAATTTAACAGTGTGTCTTTTTATACACAAAGCGATTGGAGTGCCGTGTTCAGCTGGAACTCTAAGCCAGGAAATGTTTGATTCCTTCCACCTATGCAAGTAGCAAAATATTGATGGTTTTTGATGCCATAAAACAGGTTTAAAGGCTCTGTTTTATACAGACTCCATTGAAGAAAGTTGTGTTGCCACTTCTTTCTTTTGAAAAAATGAGATTTGTCCTATTTTGCTGTTCACTCTTGAAAACTTCTGAAACCTTTATTATTATTAGGGACCCTTGTGTGTTAGCAAAAAATGTGCTAAAAGTAAGGGCAGAATGGCATGAATAAAAACAGTAACTCCACCTAGTAGACAATAAAGGTAAGGAAACTGAAAAATTTTAAATCTTGGAAGGAGCACTGCCAGTTTTACTGTAGACAGAGCATCTTTTTAAAAAGCCAGGTAACCTTTCAGCTGCCTATTCAGCAGCTGCATAGCTTATATGTCTATGAATATATCTGAGGGTCCAAGGGAGTCTTATTTAAATCTCCTCCTCCCCAGACGGTTTCTCTGCCTCTAATTTTTCTCATCTGTCTTCAGTGTTTCTCATTCCATACACTTATCTGCAGAGCAGGTTATACTGATTGCAGCAGAACGTATGCCATCCATGGGATTTGAAGTCAGAATTGTTTAATAATTACTGTCCAGATGATACCGAGTTTTTAAAACAAAACCATCCTGGGATATACTGAATGAATTGAACGTTATAATTTCTGAAATCTGACCCACTAAGATGGTAATTAAGAATAACAGTTTAACTAGACCTCTTTCATGGTGTTGATTACTACCTCCACCGGACCATTTCCCTTCTGGAAAGATGGTTACACAAATGGCATTCTGGCAAAATGTTTTCTTACATGGGCACAGAATGTTGCTTTGAACTGTCAGTGTACACAACATCGTTTACATACAGTAGTATGTGGAAATGGGATAAGAGTAAGGAAAAATTGAGGACTCTGCTAAACTTTACTGAACAATCACTAAACTTTCATGCCACAATTTTTTAATGGAAGTTCAAAATTCACACTTTTTTTTTTTCTGTCCTTCATAGGAAGGACCAAGTGTTTTAGTGATCGTATGTGGCAGTGTGTTCTGGTTCGTTGCTTTAACTAATGGATGCCAAAACTTTGGCTTCATCTTCCACTCTGCAGAGAGTGTTGTGCAACTATTTCCTTTTGCATTTGAATTTGTTTCTCTGACAAAGAGCTTTGCAAGGTGCTTTTGGAGGCCATCAAGTATTTAGAGGATAATCACACTTATTCCAAAATTTTGATTGAAATTGTTCATATGACTCATGGTAAATGTGAGATCTTAAAAGGTATATTCATACCTTTTGAAGAATTGTCATTTTAGTAATTTCAGAAATTAGGGTTTGTAGTCTATAACCTATTTGTCTTCAACTTCTATGCTCCCTTTTTATGGTACAGTACACAACGCAGTGGCTGAGATGTTGAAGTATAAAAATGAGGAAATATGATATGTAGAGTTTATTAGTAAATAGTAAGAATTTGTCTTCTCTCCTTAGCCAGCCTGGAATATAGTAAAATAAGATTCAGGTCTCCTTTTGTTTACTTTTTCCAATATTGGCATATTTTTTATCAAAAGAAAAATACATGGTGGTTTGTTGTGGGGACTTTGTTTTTTAGGGTTTTTTTCCCATAAAAAACAAACATTGCAGAAAATGGTAGAAATATCTGATCAAACAACAAGGGGAGGACGTTGGAGTCTTTTGGATCTTTGTCAATGTGAAATAGTGCTAGTTCTAAAATACCAAAGTGTCCCATGCTGTTTCCTTGTTGTCATTTTGTAATTTTTTCTATGTGTTATTTATTTAATGATTCCAGCAGAATTTGAACAGGTGTCACAGCTTCATATGCTCCTATCAGCCTCTGACCATGTTGTGCGATTGCCAGTGTCAAATCCTTTTTCTGAGACCCAAGCACATGCACTAAAGCTTTGCTTACAGTGAAGTGATTCTTGTCTTACATCTGTATCTGTTTCAAGTGCAAATCACTTTCTGGTTCTGAGTGGCACACGGTGGTGAAAGCCATTACCCTGCAGGAAATGTCAGTGACGATCAACGCAGGTTGATTTCGACACCATGTGTGTTTTATGCAGAGTATTCTAGTAGGAAGCCTCGTGCCTGTTCATTCATCTCCTCATTACTGCAGCCTTCCATATTCTCGGAGAAATATGGGCTGCCATTGGTTTTCTACAGTTGATGCTTTGGTATTTTTTTAACCTCTTTGCTACAACTCATTTTTGTATGTCTTCTATTGTCTACTTCTTGTGACATTTGTGTGAGAGGAGCTATTGAGTACTTTTTACCCTTCTTGTAATGTAGACCCTATTAGGCCTAACTTCAGTGTTCTGCAAACTACAGTTGCCTTTAAAACATAAGCAAAACCAGTTTGTATTACTTGTTTTGACTGGTTTTGGTTTGGAACAGGGACCTAATGGGAACTTCAGTAAGACAACCTTATTCTTTTTGTCTTTTCTTTTTAAAAGCACTAGTGGAAGTTTGGAAAAGTGGTGTATGTGCATAGCCTTTAAATTGCAAAGAATTCTGATTGTAGTTGCAATGAAAACACAGTGTTTGAGTGTGTCTGTACAGAATTCTCAGTATTTGAAATTGCTTTCAATTAAAAAAACTGTAGGAAATACTAGGAAATTATGTTTCAGAGCCGTATCAATGATCACGTCAGATAACAGACCAAAATTACTTTCTTACATGACCATATTGCATCTGTGCAACAAAACACATTTTCTGGCTTCTGTTGAGCTTCAGCTTCTTGCAGTCCTGGGGTTTAACTTTCATACATGAGTTCTCATACCGTACTGTGCAGGTTGACTGCCTGTTGCAAGTCAGGGTGAGGCAGATGGCACTATTTCACCTGTGTTTTCATGACAGTCTTGTGCTTGAGCAACTCTTTCAGAAATGCAGTGATTTGTAGGAACTCCACTGTCCCAGGCACAGTGATGTACTAGCTAGAATCCTTCCATGTAAAGCTGTTGTGTAGAACTTTGGGGGTCATTTTGTGTTTAACTCGGTTGGGTTTGGGTTTGTTTGGGTTTTGGTTTTGTTTTTTTTTTTAATATGGAAAATAATTTATCCTCATAAAATCTCTGGAACCAATCAGTATTGTGGGCTATTTCAATTTGGAGACACTTTCATAATAAACATAAATATTAGGAATGTAGTGTCGGTTTTCTTCTCTTTTCTGTGAAATGCAAACAATGTTTTCCTTTGTTTTAGCTCAAAGATTGTTATCCACACTGGAGACTCCAGCATTTTTAGAGCAGATCCAAGTATGTCTTTGCTCAAATCATCACTGTGGTATTTAATGTTTCTTTTTATATGAAACTTTTTGTAATGGTGTTAGAAGAACAAGTTCTCTCTATACAAATGAAAATATTTTTATTTAAAAGAAGGTATTTTGCTAGGA